AGGGCACCCTACCACTTGAAAAAATACTTTGTAAGAAAGATAGAACTGGCAATTTCCTACACAGAATTAGAGTAACTTTGTTCCAAAACAAATCAGAACCCCACTTTTGCTACCTTAATTCATCTCCCATGCATACATGTGTTATACATACATGGTTTGTACTGTCTGATCAGTGTTTTTCTACATGGCTCCTTCCTTCAGTACGCAAATTAGATCTCCTCTGTGGCTATGGCAGCATATCTACTTCATGTTATTACAAAAGCTAGAAGTAAATGAGGAATGGGACTGAGGGGAAGAGAAAGCACAAAATTACATCCTCAGATCCTATCCCCTTCTTTGTTCCAGAGGGCTTGGAAACACTGTTCAGCCGAGCTTTTCATAGACAGGCTCTAATTGTGTCTTTTTTACTTTCTAGGTGCCTGAGCTCCAAGCCTAGTGGTTTGGTTTGCAGAAGTGCTGAGCTCTCAGCCTCAGCTGAGTCAGGGAAAGCAATGCTTCAGTAATTCACAGCATCATATCCTACAGTAAGAGATCTGAAAAATCAAGTCCCAGTGGATTTAAACTGGGCAGCTGCAGTGCAGACTTGGCTGCCCATTTGCCAAATGACAATACCTTGATATCTCATCACAAAGAAGTTTTGCTAAAATGAAGCAACTAATACTTGGGGAACTCTTGTACTACAGATGTGAACACCATAGAAAGTCCCATCAGGAAAATGTATTCCAGGATTCAAAGAGCATAGTATAAATCAGGAATATACTGGAAAATAATGTATTGAATAGGTGCTTGCTAGCTGAGACATGTCCTTTTAGTGCACAGTGTGAGACTAAAGGATTTTGGATACATGAAGAAACCTCAAGTGCAATTAAAAACAAAATTAAAGGGAGTTAAGTAAGGTTGTATGACATCCACATGACTTATCAGTAGGGTAAACATCACAGTGTTAAGATTTGCCGAGGCAGCTAAAGGACCACACCTGTAGTGAGAGCCTGCTCTAACCGTACGTGAGAGAGGAAACATGCTGTCAGCAGTGGTTTCACACAACAACACTGACAGCAATGTACTGGGAAATGTAGGAACAGACCCAGTCCAGGCTGTGGACTAGGGTCTTCTCTTAGGTGCAGAACTTTAAATGGTCACCCTTGTCCTAACCCATTTCTGCCTCACCCCTTAGGACTTGTCCCACTGTAAACTTTTGCCAATCTCAGCAATTCCGTCCCATTCTATAAAACCTGTGGGTTTTGAGCTCATCCTCCCAGTTTTAGTCATGGTACACTGCCTGTGCTGGTTCACCACATCCAGGTCCTCCACCCCTCTCCCCACAATAGATATCAACCTGAATTGTCCCCATAGAGCCCAATTCCTTGTCAGCTCTGTTTTCCTTTCCCTTACACAACTATCTTTTCATACACATAGCACTGGAGAGTTTCAAAGGGTAAGTCACACATTTTTTAGATAGCCTTTTCCCTCAGCCTGAGTCCTGGTGATGAGAAACAGCTCTAAATGAAATTCTCCCCCCCTCCCCACCCCCCAAACCCCATCTGAGATAATTCAGCCTGAGGCAAACAGCTGGATTGGAAAAATTTACTCCAATGGTCAAATCCTGGCAAAACTGTGAATGACTGGAAAATAAGAACTCTTACTAAAATGCAAAACTGTCAGAGCTACCTGTAAAAACCTTGAACTTGAGACAGGGTTGAGCTGCCCTGGTGTCCCCAGATGCATGCCCTGGCCATGTCTTGTAGACAGCTTGGGGCTGGGTATGTATCAGCAACCACTATAGCCCTATCACCCTTGTTTCCACCAAAAGTAAAGCTACCTGCAAGCTGTAGTGTGACCTGGATGACTGTGGGAAAATCACCTCTCTAAGAGAGCAGATGGCTCTGCTCTTTTAAGTTGGGTACACATGGACCCCAAGAGCTCCTCCTAGACCCCTGAGACACCCAGTAACGTGTTCCAGTGGGGATAGCAGTGGAGCCACAAACCTCTCATCCCCATCCCAAAGCAGCCCCACAAGCAGGCAGGAGATAGTCTCTCACCCCCAAAGGGACCTACTAGCCCAGTGGGTCCCCAAGGTGACCAACATGCTCTGCAAGGACTTGCTTCGCTGGAGGCATGTTGTCTTTTAGTCTCCAAAACCAGTGTCCATTCACTTCTGACAATGTGAACACCTAGTGCTGTTGTGCCTTCAGCACACTGTGTTAAATGTTGAGGTTAAACATTAAACAGCAGTAAAAGATGGTCTCCAGTACAAACCCCCAGCTCTTTCTCCTTGCTGTGGATCTACTCGCTGGCCTTGAGCAAACTGCTGAATCTTTCTGGGAACCAATTTCCTCAGTTAATAAACTGCTGTGGGATGCAGTGAAGATCGATTTATTAATGTTTGTGTAGCATGGGAAGGTCCTTGAGGGGGAAACTCATGGAAGAGCAGCATTGTTACTCTTATCTTCTCAGAGTTAGCATCTAACACATCTGCTCAGAGTGACCCAGTCCCACATCTCGCCTATTGCTTACTAGAAAGTACAGCAGAGTTTCTATGGTACAATGAAGCATTGGAAATAAACTGAGACAGGGATTTATAGTTGCATTTTCTTGCAATGTGTTATAATAGCCAGCATTATTTAAGCATGGAAACATGATCTGTCCGGAGCTAACTAGCTTTGCTCAGGTGTGCTTGTAAATTTAATTTGAGTTCTTCCACCTTGTGCAGAAGTTGAATGCAGGCTAATGTGTGTGCTGGAAAAACAACAAATTGTATTATGGTATAGAACAGGAAGCCTTCTATAGTTGCACAATAAAATAGTAAAATTGTGTGCATGCAGTTATTTATATAGCACCATTCAGAAATGTATTTCACGGCTTTATATAAACAACTTGCCTGCTACACCAGAGCCAATATGTCAAATCCTATTAAACAGAAGAATGCCATTATAAAAATAAGTTTTCAATGTAGATTTAGACAAAGCATTCATTGGAAGAAGAATCCACTAACAACTGGACATAGGTATTATTAATACAGGTCCCAATAGGAAAGTGAATCCACAACATAAAATATTTTCCTGTGATGCTCTCTGCATTAAAGCTGTTACAGTTGTTTTATTTAAAAATACAGTGCCTATGTGTCCTGCAAACCAGACTGGATGGGTCTGGATGCTCTTTTTCACTTGCATTATCCCAGCAATTAATAAGTGAAGAAAAGGATTGAGGAGAATGTGATACACAGGTGAAATAGGGCAAACTGAAATCCTCTACCACGCTCCACTCCACATATTTTTTCCATGGTGTTTCCAGGCTTTCTGCTTACTTCATTATGTTCTTCTCACCCACCTACTGTCATACATGTCATTGATCACACATGTAGGTTTAAGTACTTCTAATCCCCCTCCACTGCTAGCTTCTAAAATGCAGCAGAGGTATCCACCACTGTATTAGGTCATGTGGCAGGAGGCAGCACATTTTTGGGCTATGCACATCCATCTGCATCAGTTACTGGGTCTGAAAGACCCTTCACAGATCACTTAGTGGGACAGAGGTGCCTGTTCATGGGCAAGGAGGGCTGTTGTGGGGCTTTGGCTGGGAAAGGCACAGGTTCCCTTGCTGCTGCATGACGCAGGCTTTGCCCTTCTGCCTTGGGAGCTCATCTGTGTGAGGAAACACAAGGGACAGACCAGAAGGAGGCCACTATACTGGGAATGTGCTGTTTGCTGATATTGTCAGCTGCAAGGAGAGGAGAGGACAAAACACTTCCTTTGAAATCTCATTTTGACTTGGTATTAGGCAGCCTTGCTGCTGCCTTCAGAAATATTTTTGCAGTCCAAAATGGCTAGAGTATACCTGTGTTGTATTTACCAGAAGAACTCAACAGAATGTTCCAAAATAGTATGTCTAGTCCTGGAAACAGAAATTATCAGGCTTTTCACCAACTAAGAAGTTGGTGAATAGCATACAGACATTAAGTATTGTTGACTTTCTTTCAGATACACCTTATGAGTAAGGCCCTGGATGCTGGTTTATTTGGGTTCCTGGAAAATCTGCTTATCTCTAAACTGTAATGTACAATTAATACACTGAAGGAATTTTTTAACGTGCTTCTCAGTGCTTGTTTAAGAGCTTGATCATTTTCCAGCACTATTTTGTCATTCACTACTTCACACCAGCTTTATCTTAAAACTAATACCCAGAGCTAGTTGTTCCAGACAACTGAAATGTGCAATACATGGAGCCAACACACCAGCTCCCACGTCATATGCATTTCAAATTACGCAAGAAGTGGTGCTTATTGTGCAGAAAACCATAGAGTCAGCTCTGGTGATCTCCAAGATGACTCACCTACCCTCACTCTGCTACACAATGCTAACTTTGCTGTATATAACCTATATCTACATGGATATCCAGATTCATTGTCTCAGACTTTGACCTTTTTGGCTGAGATCCCTAAAGAAAAGGCTGTCCTTGCTTTAGGCTCTTCCTACAGTCAGAGGAGGGGAACATGCACCTTGGGAAGGTGGCTCTGCTCTTCTATGGGCTGCATCACTGTAGGTAGGCTGCTCCCCTGGCTGCTCCATTGACTGGGGGAAGGAGCCTCAGGCAGGGCTGGCAAGCCTACAGTGCAGTGTCCCAACCAGCCTGCCCTGCCACTGCTGGTGGGCTGAGGGGAGACCTTGCAAGGTGTGAAAAGCTTACCAATGCTCCTCTGGGGTGACTCAGCTCACGGCTTAGGTAATTCAATTAACTAACTACATTTACACAGATAAGCCCACAGTGGCTGAGGTGGCAGTCCCGCTCTGAGTTGGAGGCATGCCCCATCAAACCCAGGGTTTCCCAGCCTGCAGTGGCTCTGGTGGCTGAAGCACCCTGACAGTGCTAACCAGAGTGCCCCTACCCCCATGCAGGACTGACCTGTCCCCTGGCCGTTTCCACTGACAGCCCTCATTTCACCCCTCCTTCCATCACTGTGTTTTGCCTTTTCTCATTTCCAGTGTTCGTTCCCAAGCACTTACCTCCTCCCTGCTGCCTGTTTCTGCAGCTGCTGCCTCACACATGCTTCCTCCGCTGTTCTCTGGGTACACCCTCTCCCTCGAGCATTTCCCTCCCGCTGCGCTGCTGCTCTTTCCCACCAAGCACGGTTTCACCCCTGAGTTTCAGACAGCATTGCAGACATTCACCAGACTCCAGTCCTCCAGGGCTGTGTCCTGCAGTAAACAACCACTGTCCCCAGGGACCTCAAGTCCCTTCCTCAGTCATGGGGAAGATGAGAATTAATCACAGAGCTGCAGCACTCACTTTTGACTCCAGCCACAGACCATCAGGGGAAAGGGACTGGAGCAGCCCAAGGGTGTTATGGATATCTTCACAGAGTAACAGGTCCCTAGTGCCCTGATGTACAAGGTTAGCTTCCCTAAACCTGCTAAACAACTGATCTGCCCTGTTCCTCTATACTGTGTCTCTTGGGTGAGAGGTAGAAATCATCTTCCTTAAGTTTAAATGTCTTTACAATGAAATAACTTGTACGTTAGACATGCCTGCTTGTCACCATAGACAGGGTCTACGGGCATGGTTTCTTGTGTAGGTGTGCATGCTGCTTTGCAGGAGGTATATGATCCTAAAATGACAGTTTGTGGGATGACATGTTGAATGTGATGGTCCACAGGGTCTGGGGCACACTCAGTCCAGCTACAAGCATGTAAGAGCCTGGTCCCCTGGGCCTGGGATGCAGCAGGTCCTGTTCCACAGAAACAACAAACCAGACCGTGTTCCTTCCACCCCAATCCTTTCCCCTTGGGTCTGTCATCAAGCCTGGAGCAAGACAGATGCTCTAGGGGCAACCTCCTGTCCACATTACAGCTGAGTTTACAGTCTCAGCATTATTTCTTTCTTATTGTCTCTTCATTCTAGAAATGAAGAGCAGGATTTCTGTCGGAGGAGACTAGAGTAAGACTTTTCATCATTTCTGATGCGTCAGCTACTGTAACAAGGCACCACAATGGAGTTACTGAAGTTACAGAGTAGGAACAAGAGCTCAAACACCTGAAGAGCATTACTCTTAGGACTACAGAGAGCTCTGCATAGCCTATTAATAGATTTGGTCATGGCCCAATGCAGCTGTAGGCCCACTAAGTGGGGCAGTGTGGCCTAGTGGTGTTTAGTTGCCTGATCACGCTCTCAAATCTTTATTTTTCACCCTACATTACTACTTCATTTCCCTCCTGCTGTTTCAAGCTGCTGATTGATCCAGAGTCATGGGCTGGGGAGAGAAATGTATTTATATTACAGCATAACTATACTATATTGCCAAGCTAAAGGCATGTAATCAAGCAGTGCTGCAGATGGAGGGCAGGTGTATTTCACAGCTGCTCTATCTCCATTCCTCTGCTCCGATGAGGAGTGAAGCAGTGCATGTGTGTGCATTGGAGACTGGGAAGGAGCAAGTCAAAGCAACTCTTTGTGCAGAATATCGACGTGGGGCAGCCTGCTCTGGCGTTTGTGTCACAACCACAGGCTGTCAGGAGCACCAGAGCCTGAATTAAAAACCCCAACAGCATAACTAGTTCAGCACTAGTAAGGCAAATGCATATGTATTACACTTAACACCTCATATAGCAGAGGAAAAGTAAAGTTTCTTACTGATAACAAATAAAACCAGACAGTGCAGTTATTAGTCCTGAATACGGCCTAACATGGCAGGTCCTCAACTATCCTGGTTTGTCAGAAGTATATATGTCTTCCTCCCTCACCCCCAACCTAGTTTTCCAAGCTTGGAAGGTCTCTCTATGCCAAAGACATAAGGTCAGCCTCACCTGACCTGTGCGTTGTGTTGAAAAGCCAATGCCACCACTGCAGAGCTGTAGGGCTCAGCCTGGAGTGGCTTAGCTGTTGGTGCAAACAGAGGATGAATCCACCCTTGCAAGGAGGCTTGGGCCCACAATTAACTGTCAATGTAGGCCAATGCTTTGCGCTGTTTTGGATCCACTCCTTGAGCAGGCAGACCCAAGTAATGAAAGTATCTCCCAGTTCAGAGGAGCACCCAGGGTCACACAGAGCTGTGTCTGGCTCACATTCAGTGCTGCAGGCTCTGTAATTTTCCTTGATGTGTCAGGACACTTGCAAGAATCTCTGACTCAGGTTTCAACATCCTTGTACTGAATGTCATCCTTAGGAAAACAGCGCTTTGTTTTGATCCCAAAACTGAGATGTTTGAATCCACGCACCTACACTCTTCTGGTAGCTGTGCTCATGGTGCAAAGAGCTGCAGCGCCCTACAGTTACCTTCTTAACTACTTCTTACATGCTTTGAATAGCATCAGCATCAGGTTCTGAGAAAAATTTGAAGAGCAGCTTCAAGCTCTTTTGCCTCTTCAGAGCTGAAGGAACAGGTAGAGCAGGGAAGTCGGAAAGCCATGGCAGCAGCAGAAATGCATGGTGCTGCTGTGGTCCTGCAGTCACAGAAGCACCAAGGTGTATGACAACGATCTGGCTTCAGCATAACAGCATCAGCAAAGCAAGGAGAGCTTCCAGCAGGACAGCCAGGATGTGGCAACTCTGTGCATTAGCCATGCTGCGATAACTCTGTAGACTCACACTTCCACCCTAAGATAAATGTAAAACAGTTTGTCAGTGGACATGGGATAAGCCGCCTCACATTTTCCATGGAGTAAGAGTAGGACACCCAGCAGTCATGCTGGGAGCTGTTGCTGTTTTATAAGGTCACACCCAAGTTTGCCACAAGGTCACTTTTTCACATTGCCAAGCCCACACAAGGGAGCAGGAGCCAACCCAAATCAACTGAAGAATGCAAACAGTCTCAGTCTGGGCGTCCTCATAGCCACCTCAGCATAACCCAGAGGGTGAAGAGTGAATGAAAAATGAAAAAGGAAAGGCAGAGAGAAAGTCTTCTGTAAAGTAGGAAGGAGAAAATAGTTGGGGTGTTTTGAGTCGTTGCTTTATTATTTTTTTTAAGATAGTTATTTTTAAAATACAGCTCTGCAGCATGAGATAAATGTCCTGTTGTTCCTGTGGGATATTTAGAAATGACTCATTAAACATTTCAATAGCAGTGTATTGTTCCTGAGATGGAAGGATTGACAGTGAAAGAAAGCCATTGCTAAAAAATGAGGAACAGGCAGCAGTGAGACTGAAAATGCTACTCTGCACCCCAGTAGGCATCTGCAAACGTAGCTGATACAAGTTTGGCTTTATTTGCTGGTATAAGTTGGCGGTGGCCTCTTGATTTCTATTGAAGTAGACTGGTTGACACTGGAAGAAGGAATGAATTTAATTATGTGCATTAAAAAAAGAAAGAAAAAATGGGAGTTTTGATGTGGAAAATGTCTTCTCATCGACACTAAGAAATACCCTAACATTGCCCCTCCCTATAATTGCTGTACTAAGACCACAGTTTTATTTCAGGTGTAGCATGAGGCCTGGAAAGACAAAGTTCAGAGGCCCCAAGAAGTGAAGAATTCATCATATCCCCTCAGGAGTTATTTCAGTGCTTAATTAGTCACTGTTAAGATGTGCACCTTTTTGCTAGCTGAAACATAGCTAGCTTCAGCCTCCAGCCATGGGATCTATTACATGTTGCCTGGTAGATTAAAGAGTCTCCACCATAACAATCTATGAAAAAAATCACTTGTTCCAGAATAAAAATTGGGTGAGGCATATCAAATTGCAGGTTTATAGGTCATGAGAAGGTTTGCAGATAATTCTGTGCTGGTTGCTCCTAACAAATGCTGACACCGCATTTAGAGAAGAATGATAGTTCTTCCTCTCGGTAATTAGGGAAGCCTGAAGGGTCTGAATATGATTACGGTTTCAGAGGAACCGTAATCCTCAGATTCAGAGGATAGATTCCAGCAATATATTTTTGTTCTTCTGGGTTTCTTATCTTCTTTGCCAGGTGAGTCACTTCCAGTGAAAAGTACAATTGTTGCAAAGAGCTCAAAGGGAATAAACAGAATGAATGGGCTTGTTCTCCTCTCCCTGAAATGAGCTAAAATCACAGCTTTTGCCTGGTTAGGGCTTGGACATATTTGAAACATATTCACTCCTCATGTTCTGATTTCTTCTTGCAAATAATACATAATTACAAAAGACATAGCCCCAAGTGGAAAAGGCTGTTTACACAGGCTATCTACATACAGACAATAATACTTTTTACATGCCTGCCTCAGAGATATTTAACAAGTTAATTTCTTTTTGTTTCACTTGAGGTCTGTCCCAGCACGCTAATATCTGGGCTCTAAATTGCTGCCTTACAGATATTTCCAACAGTATTTTGCTTTTTATTATTGTTGTTCTCTGAATCTCCTCCACTTTACAGATGTCTCTCTTGTACTGAGGCATCAAAGCAGCCACGTAAAGAAAACCAGTAATGGAGTTAGTCACTGTACAGCATGACTGCTTACAATTCCTGATGCAGAGAAGAGCAAAGCCAGATAATAGAATACGGAATAGTTTGGGTTGGAAGGGACCTTCAAAGATCATCTGGTTCAATCCCCCTGCAATGAGCAGGGACATCTTCAACTAGATCAGGTTGCCCAGAACCACATCCAGCCTGGACTTGAGTGTCTCCAGGGATGGTGCATCCACCACCTCTCTGAGCAACCTGTGCCACTGTTTCACCACCATCACTGTAAAGAATTTTTTCCTCATATCCAGCCTGAATCTCCCCTCTTTTAGTTCAAAACCATTACCCCTCATACTATCACAACAGTCCCTGCTAAAAAGTCTTTCTCCATCCTTCTTATAGGCCCCTTTTAAGCACTGAAAAGCCACAGTAAGTTCTCCCCTGAGCCTTCTCCATGCTGATCAAGCCCAACTCTCTCAACCTATTTCCTACGGAGAGGGGCTCTTGCCTTGTGGTCATTTTTGTGCCCCTCCTTTGGACTCCCTCCAACAGGTCCTACGCTCCTGAGTTGGACACAGTACTCCAGGATAGGATAGGATGCGTGAAGCCTCCATCAGCCAGAAAGAAGAGGTAACTCATAGTCTACCTGTCACCTTTGAGCTCTGCACCCCATGGGGAGCAAACCAGCTTCTGGTCCACCACCATCCCAGGAGCATGTCTCTATCCCTAAGCACCACAGTCTGAATTCGGGGCTGATGCAGTTAGCCAGTGCTAACTGCTCTCTGGGTGAGAAGGCAAGGCTCACAGAGCTGCTGAGAGACAGCAGTCAAGCTGGGGAGTGGCTGTGCAATAGCAGGGGAGTCCCTGCCCTGGGAAAAGAGGAGTGCCTGGGACTACTCACGCAGGTTGCATCATTAGGTAAACCAAAAGTGTTTAAAGCAAGGAGGGGAGTTGGTTTGGCTTAGGTGTTGTCATGCTGTCTAGGGTTTTGTGAATGCGTTTTGGGGGGCATTTTTGAACCTGGCCTTCTCCTCTCTTTTAAAATGGGAACAAGGTACTTTCCTCCCTCAAGGACTGCAAGGTGGATTCAGGCATTAAAAACTCCAAGATATGCCATGTCCACCTCACAGGAGCACTGTGCAGACACCTGAGTTGGCACAGATGAGATGCAATCAGCATCACTAATTTGGATCTGGATAGAAAGGATTTCTGTGACTCTCTGACAGGGCCTGAACTCATAAATCCTGGCCTGTGGTTAAGTTTATTAGCACAGGCAGAGAGCTGCCCTGACATCAGGCCAACAAGGCCATGCTGCAGAAACTGGGGATTCCCAAGCCACACTCCTTCTGCAGCGCTTCTGGTGCTTGCTCAGGCAGGACAAGCTCAGATCTGCCCAGAAAGGTCATTACAGGTGACTGCTATAAGGTGTGCTCCATAGCTGGGAAATGGCCAGGTGGCAATTCTGGTAGAAATGCCCCCAGATACCTTATAAGTGATGTACTCTTGAAATGAAAATCTAATTAAATGATAAAAACATCTGATGGGACTTCTGTCCAGCAAAGCTACCTCTTTGGCTGCATCCTGCTCTTCTATATGAGGACACAACAGCAAGAAAAAGATAAGGCACTCCTGTGAGTCAGTCTGAGGAGAAGCTTATGCATGGAGCAACCTGCAATGAGTGCCTTTGAAAAAACACCATGATTTACAAAGGATGTATCTGTCAAGCTGCTGTCAATACTGTGGACACTATCCATAACATATAAAGACCGACACTGAAGACCCTACAGTTGTCTACTCTCCCAGAGGTCATGTGTTAGGATATGTTGTATTCCTAGGGTTGTACCCCACAAAACACAGGAAGGAGGGCACAAAAACTTTAAATAGAGTGCTATTGTTAAGCGTCAATGGCTTTTGAAGTACAGTTGCACCTTCTCTAATGGGGTCAGTGCTTAGAGTTACTCAGGTTGGTACTCAGCTGTTCTTCAAATCCAGTTCATGAACTCTGAATCTCCTAAGTTTGCAAAGCCAAGGCTGAAAATCCCAGTAGAATAGGCTTTCATGAAGAGCTAAACACCCCTAGTTTTCAGGTGAGCCTAGGCTGCACTGGAGCTGTAGCTTCTTGTAGCACAGTTTTAACATGGATTCATCAAGGGCTTTAGGAACACCCACTGATTATGCTAATCTGAATATTTGGATCTGAAAAGACAGCAGGTACCTGGGAAGGAGAATTAACTTTTTTTCTAAACGTCATCGAAAGCATGACCACCTGCTAGCCTTTACATGAAGAAAATTCTGGGCTAGCGTGGGAAACTATCCTGTGTAAAGTGGCATCTTTACTGACATGCCATTTTTAGTGAAGACTCCAAGACTTGTATTCTGTGCCCATGATTAAAAACCAGAAAGTATATTACTGACTGAGCCATTTGCTGTCAGCCAGGTTGGGAG